CACAAAGTATATTATATCAGTATTCTTCTGGTTACTATGATGAAATCCTACAAATGATCTGCTAATATGGACCCCATACTTGCACAAGTCCTCACTTCAAAGTTATTCTGCATGGGTGCAAGATCCGAACGACTGCAACTGTTTAGGACTCAGAACCAGAGAAAACTGTTTTGTAATGTATTTGAATGGTTACTTAACAAACTACTTTATGAACATCATAAATTACCATTTGTACGGTTAAAGCATGTATGTCCAGTATCTCAGATTTGCATACTGTACTGCATAAGATTATTAACAAGATCATTAGTATTGTACAGAAATAATATTGGGGTCCTTTTTGTTTTGCGGGTGCTCTCCATTGGTTGATGTGGGTGGGTTGCTCTTCCCAGCAATTGTGGAGGTTAAATGCAATAAGAATGGCCATACTGGATCAGACCAAAGGTCCATCTATCCCAGTATCCTGTCTTCCGACAGTGGCCAATGCCAGGTGCCCCAGAGGGAATGAACAGAACAGGTAATCATCAAGTGATCCATCCCCTGTTGCCCATTTCCACCTTCTGGCAAACAGAGGCTAAGGACACCATCCCTGCCCATCCTGGCTAATAGCCATTGATGGACCTATCCTCCATGAATGTATCTAGTTCTTTTTTGAACCCTGTTATTGTCTTGGCCCTCTCAACATCCTCTGGTTGAGAGCCTACTGCAAACTCTCTGCACTGAAGTGCATTTCATTTTCAGAACTCAGGGCAAGGAAGTAGCATACAATCCAGTAATGAATTTCATCACATTTATTAAAATAGCTTTATTACAAAGAATTATTATAAACAAAAATAAACTTGAACATTATAAATGACCATTGATCTTAATGTGTGCATGTGTGAGACAGAGAGAGAGAAAGAAACTTCTGCATGACAATTCAGATGCAGTTATCTTCCACAGCCAAATGTTTGGTTCCAGTTTTCATATAGTTCCAGATCCTTTGAAGACACACTGGGTCGCACAGTTTTGAAAGCATTGTCAAAGTCAAGAAAAGAAATAGGTCGAACTTGTTCGGGTGTGATGGTTGCTATGTCCATGGACTGAAGGCTACGGATAGGACCTAAAGAAGCTTCTCGACAGAGCTGTGTCATGTCTGCCCCAGAAAATCCATCAGATTTTTTAACTATGAGCTCAACTTCCTCTTCTCTTAGACAGCAGTGCTCCTTTGACATCAGACAAGTTACAATCTGCTTCCTAGCTGAAGCTTCAGGAAGAGGGATGTACAGCCTTTTTACCAGTCTTCTTCGGGCAGCCTCATCAATTTCTTGCGGCCGATTTGTTGCTCCCACCACTAGAATACGGTCTTCAGACGAGGTTGTTGCTCCATCCAACTGGACTAAAAATTCAGTTTTTATTCTTCTAGAAGATTCGTGTTCCCCATCTCCACGCTGAGACAAGAGAGAATCGATTTCATCAATGAAAATCACAGCTGGCTGCTGACATCGTGCCACAGTGAACAGTGCACGGACCATCTTTTCCCCCTCACCTACCCACTTGGAGGTCAGCGAAGAGGCACTGATGCTAAAAAAAGTAGCTCCTGATTGACACGCAATGCACTTGCCTATAAGAGTCTTACCTGTCCCAGGAGGGCCAAAGAGAAGAATTCCTTTGGGAGGACCACGTAACCCTGTAAAGATGTCTGGTCTCAGCATAGGCCAGACTACTATCTCCTTTATAGTTGCTTTAGCAAAGTCTACTCCAGCAATGTCATCCCAGTTCACTGGAGGTCCATGGTCCATGATCTCATGCATAATAAGTTCAATCATTTTTGGTTCTATGTTCTTCAAACGTTCATCCACTGGAAATGAAGACTCTGTTGGTCCAGTGCCATAAGGTTTATACTGCGGTCCTCCATTTTCATTCCCATCTTGTCTTGGCACTGGAGGGACAAATTTTCCAAATGGACCCCGAGACCTTCCAGCTCCCAAAGATTTTTTAATGCCACCATAGGATGAGACTGGTGTGCGTTGAGGCTGATTGTGATATTTCTTTTGCTGGTCTACCCAGAGCTGTTCTTTCGCGGTTTTAAAACCATTGCTCTCTTCACTCCCATTTCCACTCCCTACAAAGTTCTTGGTTTCTGTACTAATGGAGGGCTTGGAAGAAGCAAGGCTGGAACTTGTATTGTTGCTTTCATCACTGGAGCTATAAAATGTTTTCCTTTTTCCTGGATTTCCAGACCCTGCCGGAAGAGAGGAGTGATTAGAAAAAGACAAATTCTGTCCAATCTCAAAATGACTTGGGGGTTTCACAGAACTGCTACTTGCTGCTTTGTTGTTTCCAGATAATGGACTTGCATAGAAACCTGTATTAGGCAGTTCATTTAAAGAGGCAGAGGAGGCAGGAAGTATATCTGTAGTTTTGGTCACAGAAGGCACACTACTTTGAAGACATTTCAAAGATGAGAGACTCTCAAGAATATCTGGTCCCTGACTTATACATTTTGATGAGCTAGCCCAGAGGTCAGTATCTACAGCACTGCTGCACACATTGAGTTTAGGCAGACCTGGAGTAACAGAGGCACTGACCTCCTTATCAACTACCACAAAGGCATCTGCTGGTGCCATCAGAGAGCTTTGGAACTTTTTGCCAGCTTGCATCAACTCTTGAACACTCTTTAATTCAAACACATTACTTGTTGTCAAGGAGGACTGCCACTTGTCACTGTCATTTTGCTGACATCTTGCCAAAGTCAAAATGTTTTCAGCATAGTTATTCAAGCCAGTCTCTGCGTTGTCAGAGTCAATAATGGCAGAGTATTTCTCTGCATATTTTTTGAACAGGTTGGTAGCACAGACCTGGGAGATCTCAGAGTTTGCCCATGCATACTGAATGTGCAGAATCTGTGCACGGTATCCATCTGCCTTCTGTCCTGGTGTACAGGTGTCAGAGGTAATAGCAAAGTAATTCTTCTGCCATTCACTCAGGTGTACAGCACTAGAGACAGGTGTCTGCATGATCTATGATAAAACAAACAGAAAGATTTAGCATTAAGTTACAAAGAAAAAAGTTAATTTCAGTAACTACTTAATTATATTTTTGCTACCTTCTCCCTTCTAAATTCATAAATGTATAGTTAATTAATTGCTAACTATTTTAAGTCAGAGTGATAGCCAGCAGACTCTATATGACACTTAGCTGGGCTGCATACTTTACCATTCCTACAAAAATAACATTTATGGCATAAAACTGTTAGGATCCAGGCTTTTCTCTCTCCCCTTGCAGACTGCTCCTTATAACAGGTCTCCCTGGGAACGGGGTTAAGAGGAGAACTGCAGGGTAACAGCTGGCCAGATGAGGTGGATTAGCTAAACACAAGTCAGCAATGGTTAACCCTTATTGGAGAGAAGTCTATAGAGTATTACTTAAGACAAGTATTTAGTTGTCAGAATGAAGAATCTGTTACTATGACACTAGTGGAAATGACGAAAATACATAAAGTTTGTGGGCTGAGGAAGAGGGAAGAGACTGGAAAGCGCAGGGCAGAGTTTAGTATAGGGTTTTTGTGATTTTTTTAAAAAATGAAAATTAAGAGCATGTGTTACTTGATAGCAAATACTAGAGTACTTTCCAATAATTCACCTTTTCAGATTAAAACTTGCCATTGCTTTGTTTCTGTTCACCAGTGAACTTTTTAGCTTTAGAAATCCCTTCAGCTATTTTTTTAATTAAAATTGAGGATGCACTTTTTTTTTTTTTTTTTTT